TAGGAGTGGGACTTGGCAGGACCAAGTTGCTTGCTCCATCTGTAAGGGGTCCCAAGCGGGTAGCCCAATCTGTAGGACAGGGACTTGCTGGGAGCAAGTCATCTGAAATTCCGAATAGGACCCTAGTCTGTGTTACTGTACTGTCTGTCCACGTTTCACATTTGTGTTGTGTGTTTGTCAAGCATCTCTTTCTGTCCCTACTGCCCACGCACGTGGCATGCATGGGTCAGGGGTCTTTTCTTGTTGCCCTAAGCACTTGGCACGGGAAAGGAGTTCTGCCATGTGTCACGGGTTAGAATGTGTTGTGTTGGAGTCCCCCGAGGCTGCTTTTCTGAACTCAAAAGGCTGCTGCAGCCCTTACAGCTGAGCCTGGCCGATGTAGGTGAGCATTTCCCTATCCCCACCTGCTGGTCCCGTGGGTCCCTGCCATTTGCCTAGCTGCCCAGCCTTCTTTGTGCTCTACATACATAGTATGCAGGGGGACTGCAGGGGTCTCTTTCCCACCCCTGCATTGGCCGAGGGTCTGGGATTACCAGCAGCACCCCCTCCCCCCAGTTCTCTTCCCTGAGCACATGGAACTTGCTCAGGCGGGTGAACCATCTGTCCTGATCTGGATGTTCTAAAAAACGGCCTTAAAGTTATTAAAAAAAAAAAAACCTTAAAGACTTTGATAAGAGTATATGTTGACCAAGAAATGAGAGAAAATGTAGGAGACTAAAGTAATAGAGAAAGAAGGAAAAAAAAGAAATTTGTCTAAGAATGTTTATAGGAAGTTGTGGAAGTTATAGAGGGTTAAAGCAAGTCGTAGAAGGTCAGAGAAAAGTTGTTGAAGGTCAGAGAAAAGGTTGTTACAAGTCAGAGAAAAATGTAAACTGTAAACTGTTATGGTTTCTCATGTCTGCAAATAGTAAATTTTAAAATTGGTAATATAAGTTAAAATTTTAACCATATTAAGCTAATTTTGTTTTAAAAGTCCTGTTTATTTCTCAAGTAATTTATGTATACTTGTTTTAAAATGTTCTATTTCCTGGTATAACCTAAGTTCTGTTAAGCAAAGGGTGCAAGTTTCGGCCATTTTGTAGCCAGCCACAGGGCAAACTGGTCACATGGCTGACTGGTAGCCATTTTACTAAAGTTAAAAAAAAGGATACTTAAACCGCCATCTTGACTAAAGGTGACCACATGGAAATTAGAGGTACCATCTAAGAAACAAGTTTTTTAGTTAAGATTTAAAATGTTAATGCTTCTATATATTACAGAAAGACCTTAAGGGAATTTAAATTTCTTTTTAAAACCAGTTTTTTAAAATGTTTGTTTTTTATTAATGTTTGTACTTAAAGAGCTTCAATTTAGAATTATTTTTAAGCAAAGCCTGACAATGTAAAGTTCTTGTTTTGTGAAAGATGCTGATCTATTATAAGATGTTACAGTTTGT